TTAACCCCCCCTTCCCCTCCCATAAATATTCCAAATGTTGATGGTAAATATATTTTGAAACCTTTTTAACAAGACTCAAGCATGGGCGGGATATACAATAGTTTAAAGGTGGGCGGGGCAAAATTGTCAATTTGTTGTTTGTTTGTAAGTGTTTGTTCGCCCGGTGTGTGTTTGTTACAAACTTGGTAAAATATGAGTGTAGGGGCCGTAGACCCTTTCTAAAGTCTTTGGCAACCACGCGTGACTATCGTTCTGTCTTAACCTAACCTAACCTGGAAAAGTAATATTACACGAGGTTGCATGGGGTAAAAATTTTTTTTTCACAAGTGTCTTGAGGAGAGTTGCTTTAAAAAGCTCAAATTTTTAATTTAAAAAAAAGCAGGTTACTTTTTAAAAAATTCGTTTGGTGTTACTGCAAAAGAAAACGTAAATAGCTTGAAAGTATAAAAGCTTTACGTTTTTAATTAAAAGATGGCACAAGTTTCCCTTCCTTATGAACAGCTTGGCTTTCAATATACTTAGAAAACTAGTTTAATTTGCAGGAAACATTTAAATAATACTTTTATTTCATCGTCGTATTTAAACAACGAATGCAAATATATCGTGATTTAAGTAGTTTTCCCAGGATCAAATAACATAAAGATAGTCTTTGTTTTCATTTCTTTAATTTTTTGTGATAACTTCTAAGCGTGCAAACTTTGCCATTATCGACAATTGGCGTCTTAATGAACCATTCTAAGTATTGATGGATACAAGTTAAATAGGAGATAAAAAAAATAATGGAGAGTGTGAATTAGTATCTGGAACTTGTTAAATTTAGGACTTTATTTTGTTCTATCTTTGTTATCTGTGGTCTGAATAGTTTGGACTTTATTTAATTCTCGTGGTCTCAAGCTAGTCACACTTTTTTATACAAAACTGCGGTAGGATGTAGGGGCGGTGAGGTTTACTTGAAGGTAAGGGGGAGATAATTTGGGCGGAGGGGGGGTGAGATTAATTGTATATGTCTCTGAAATAAGAAGGAAACAGTCGGAGAAAAAAATTGTTGCTATCACAAAATAATTAAGTGTGCAACATTGCATTTTTTGGACCAATCTTCATAATTTTAGACATCTAGATAATCTCAAATTACCNTTAGTGCACCGGTAAGCAGTTTGCCTTAAGATAAGTAAAGATAAGACAACAAAATATAAAGTATAAAGTAAAAAACTTAGATAAAATATTAGAATAAATGCAAACATGATTTTGCATTAGATAAGACTATTGTAAAGTAGACTTATTTTATTTAGTTGTATTGGAGTTAAAAAGAGTGAAAAAAAAATTGTAGACAACGTCAAAAGAATTTTTTTGCAAACGTTTGTTTTTACATTTGTCAACAAAGGAATCGAGTCTTAAACTTAAATATTCTAATTTCTATATCTTTTCAACTTGAAACATTAGATATTTCAAACTGAGATTATTTGATCCAACAGAATTCATAGTTTGAAATATCTAAGGTTTACGACATCGTGTTACAAAGATAAAGGGATTAGAAAATCAGAGTTTAGGGCAAAACTCAATTCCTTTATATAAATCCCGGAGATCATTGTCATCTATAGAATGATTTATGTTGTGATACATATAAACATTACCGGTATATATAGATAGATCGACAGCCATCTTTACAACTTTTTATCAGACAATAGATGCATCCAGCTTAACATTTGACAGTACAGAAAAACAGCAACAATGAAGATATATGTTGCAATCATTGAAGAACCGAAACTTAAACCTTACATCTGAATTTAGGCCTTTGCAAAGTAAGAGGGATCGATCGGTAATTGAGACCAGCTTGTCTTTGGATTGTCGCCAGGTCTTGGTCCTAGGTTTTATCTTTATGTAACCCTGGCTGTAAAGATTTTGTTTCAAACTTCACAGTTATTAAAGAGTATTTTTCAAAATTTTAATAAATGTTTTTTTCGTCAGAATGTTCATAGTTTGAAATATCAAGGGTCTGCGACATCGGTTGCAAAGATACAGGGAGGAAAAAAATCAGAGTTTGTGGCAAAAACTCAATTCCTTTACACTTTTTTATCAAACTCTTTTGTATTTAACCCATGGTCCAGTTTCATCTAGCCATGAAGGTCATAAAGCACTCTGAAAATATTTGAAAATTCAATCTTACAAATAACTATTGAAGTCAATTTTTAACGGTGGTGTTTTTTATTTTTTTATGGCTAATTAATTTTTGTGAATTTTTCATATTTACGACTTTAAGAACATATATTCTTTAATATTGCCCATGATATCACATAACACTAGGCTTATTTTGTTTATTTGTATTAGAGTTTTAACAAGAAAGTTTTGCACAAAAAATTAAACATCGTTAATGAGAAAGTTTTTAAAAACTTTATTGAATTTGAAAATTAGTAACTAAACGAAAAGTACGGAATTCTCTGTGTGATAAAAGTCCAATGTTTGATGACTCACCCTGCCAAGAAAGATATTCCTTTATATTCCAAGTGCCAGGATAATTGCAAGGAAAAAAACAAAGAGTTGGATCTGATACTCTCAAACATGGGACAAAACAAGGGGGTTCCTAGAATTATTACTGAGATTTGGAATCTAGACACATTTCCGGGTACACAGTAACACTATCTCCAGCTTCACAACGTACCTGTCTCCATAGTTTTATGCTTTCTGTGAACTCGCGGAGTTTTTACAAATGATTTTCGGGGATTTCAGTTTTAAACTTTTTCGAGACTGATCGAGGAGACAAAGCGATTTTCCACTCTTTGAAATGTTTAAACGACACGCCTTCAGAATTCTGGGTTCTATTATATCTTGAAAGAGGGTTAGGACGAACCCAATGCCTTGTCAAAAAATTTCAAAGAATTTCCTGAAATTGACCTGATCAACTACATATTGAATATAGAAGCTCTAATCTTTAAAAATATGTGCTTTGTCTCGATCTACAATTTGAATCTTGCATTAACGGATTCGTATTTTGCACAGATCTTGCTTTTGTGACTTAAAATCAACTTGACAGAAAAATACAGAATTTTAAGTTTTTCTGAAATTGTCCAATTAGCCTAAATAATAAGTTTTGAGAAAAAAGTCTTTTTTTTAAATTCAATTATTGCAATAGTTTATTTTTTCCACATACGTGCAAAAATTGAAGCAGATTTTAAACATAAAGCAATGAAAAGATTGTAGGAAAAATTGACGATTGAAAAGAAAAATTTAGTATTTGCTTACTTCTTATTATTATTATTGTAATCAAATTTACAGAAGGGGAAGGGGGGGATGTCGGTATGCAGTCAACTAGAACAATTTCAATTAACTAAACGGTTCTATATCTGCTGTACGTTGATTAGATAAGGAACTTGAAAGATCAATCTCAACTTTATCATTTCAAGATTACTACACACAGATTAGTTAGTTCATTTATTTGTAAATATTATGCAGTATACGGTTGTGTTAGAGGTTTGGAGCAAAAATAGGTTTTTTATGAAATTAAATTAAATCTTGGAATATGCATGTTTTTAAGCTTAACTACAGTTTTGGAATTATTATATTTTTGCAACTTGATGTTGTAGACTTTATGATATTTCAAGCTTTGAATTCTATTCTATAAAAGTTTGAAGTTTCTATGTTATTTGCACCATAAGGGTGCCAATGATATAAGATAGAATATCAAAACTAAAACGCAGTCTCTTCTATCTATAATATTGTTTCAGTGAGAGTGGTGTGTGTCCTTCATGTAGCAGGAGAAGAATTGAGAGGAAGGAAATTATTACAGAGATAATTGAAACCGAGATTAAGTATGGTCGAGATCTTAGGATAATCCTGGATCAATTCTACAGACCTATGCAGGTAAACTTTAACTCTTGAAGTTTTCTTATCATGCCTGACGTTATGTGAGATTTTTTTGACATTTTATTCTTTTTTATTATTAGAATAAGAGGATATAAAATAACATGGCAGATTCCGGTAAAAATTGGACATTTTGATAATCCTACACGTTTCATCAGAATTATATTGTCTCTTTAATCAGAATTGTATTGTCAGTTTGAACAGAATTGAACTTCTCTTTGATCAGAATTGTATTGTCAGTTTGAACAGAATTGAAGCTCACTTTGATCAGAATTGTATTGTCAGTTTTAACAGAATTGAACTTCTCTTTGATCAGAATTGTAATGTCAGTTTTAACAGAATTGAACTTCTCTTTGATCAGAATTGTATTGTCAGTTTTAACAGAATTGTATTGTCAGTTTTAACAGAATTGAACTTCTCTTTGATCAGAATTGTATTGTCAGTTTAAACAGAATTGAACTTCTCTTTGATCAGAATTGTATTGTCAGTTTGAACAGAATTGAACTTCTTTTCGATCAGAATTGTATTGTCAGTTTGAACAGAATTGAACTTCTTTTCGATCAGAATTGAACTTCTCTTTGATCAGAATTGTATTGTCAGTTTTAACAGAATTGAACTTCTCTTTGATCAGAATTGTACAAGTTGTTTGATCAAAATTGTACAAGTTGTTTGATCAGAATTGAAGAGGTGGGATCACAGACAAACAGACAAACTGTCAACACTACATATTGGTTCAATTAAACTTCTTGTCCAAAAGTGAACTTTAAATATAACTAAAATTTAGAAATAAAAATGTTTATTTAAAAAAATATTTTTACTTTTTTTAGGTTGCCGGATTGCTAACTGCGGAACAACTAGCAAATGTTTTTCTGAACGTAGAGGAGTTAATTAATGTTAATGAAAGGTAATTTAATTCTAATAATCATTCTTGTTGGTCATGTTTTTATTTCCCTCTTGTTCTTGTTTCTAATCCTGTTCTTGTTAATTTTTTCTCTCTCTTTTGTATGTGTTCATAATTCGTTGCAGCTAACCTAACCTTTCGTCCTCTTTCTATCTCATACACCTTAATAAGCCATTAGCTCTTTTTTTCAACTTATATCCGGTCTGATGCTGCCATGTCCGCCTTTGCTGGACACACTTCATTCCCCCATTTCTATTCAATCGACTTTTATCTGACACATCTTCATTATTCACCACAATTCTCACCCCTGTTCATTCTTCCGCCCCGGGCCGCCCAAAAGCTACCCTATCTGCCTCTATTTGCCCCGAACCCCATTCAAATCTCATTTTCTCTAGTCAATTTTTCCTGTCATTCGTTTTCTTTAAGCCCCGCCCATCCCTTATGTGGATTCTGTTATTTGTACAATATGCTTGATTTCACATTCAGAAAATAGATTTCTGAAACTTAAACACTCTGCATAACCTAGAATAATAATGGTCTGGCTGATAAAATGTTATAATACATGATATTATTTCATGCAAATACTGACCAGAATTGTTACAGTCCATGACTTTAAGTTAAATTTATGGTTCCCGTTAAACTATTTTTTTTTTTAATTTAACAAATATTGAAATATTATTCTTTTTGGCAGAAATAGACATTCAACCTTTAGATCCTTTTTAAACCACTTAAGCAGATCGTCATAAAAGTTTAATCCTTTCTTAGTGGTGTATAGTGACTATATTTCGCGAATTTTCATTAATACATTCGAAAACGAAAATTCGTGAAAAACCCAATTTTGCGAAAATTTTTGACAGAATTTTTTTTATTTTTGTGTAAAATTGTAGATTTTTGAAGATTTATAAAATAATTCACCACAAAGACTATTTAATATGATCAGTTAAAGACTAAACTACGAAAGATATCTATCAAACAGTTTTACGGAATTGAGGTCTAAAATAGTTAAAAATTCGCGAATTTCGAGTTAAAAATGTCGTTGGAAACTCTGTAGGTTACGCATAGTTTAGGTTTGATCTCTTCTTTATCTCTAGGTTCACTGAGAGCTTGAAGGATGTGATAGAACTAGCTTTAGACCAAGGAGATGAAGATCTTAGTACTGTTAGCATCGGAAAACTATTTCTTCAGGCAGCATCGATGCTTGGAGCATTCAAATCCTACTGCACTAGACAGGTAATTGGAGCATTCAAATCCTACTGCACTAGACAGGTAATTGGAGCATTCAAATCCTACTGCACTAGACAGGTAATTGGAGCATTCAAATCCTATTTCAAATAAGATAAATATGGAGCATTGATGCAAATGGTAGAGCAATTCTAAATGAAATGTGAAAGAAGAGTTTGAGCTTATCAGTTCTGATAACAATCAGAAGGGTTTGCATTGAGGAATTTAAACAAACTAGAGAAGGACGCAATAGTTTCCCCGTTATCAAGGGAAATTGCACAATTCAAGGTTATGTCCTGAGAATTGGTTATATGATAGTAGCATCGATGTGACTCAAGTTTTCATGTGAAGCAGAGAAATTGGTATATGTAATAGCATCGATGATTTTAGTTAGATAACACCGAGGCTTCATGTATTAAGGGATCTGCGTCCACCTTGCTTCTAATATATCCTTGATATTTTCAGGGATCAGCGTCCAGTCTCCTGGCTAACCTGGAGAGAGAGAAGGAACTGCTCCGGATATTCCTCCGTGTCTCACAGATGGAGAACACGATGCTTAGAAGAATGAATCTTTCATCATTTCTCATGGTGAGGTTTATCACTCTTTCTCTTTTTTCTTTTCTTTTTTATTTGAAATATTTAATTAAATATTTAATATTTAATATTTAATTTGAAATATTTTATTTAATATTTTAAATTTTCTCATTTAGTCACTCTTTAATCTCTTTTATCCATCTTTCACTATTTTCATTTCTTTGTTTATGCTAGATAAATGAATCAATTTTATATATTTATGATAAATATGTTTAATCCTTCTCATTTTTCATTGTCCATGCCTTAATGAGCTTATTCTCTTTTATCACACTTTCGTTTCTTGTTTCACACTTCCGTTTCTTGTTTAACACTTCCGTTTCTTGTTTCACACTTACGTTTCTTGTTTCACACTTCCGTTTCTTGTTCCACACTTCCGTTCCTTGATTCACACTTCCGTTCCTTTGATCAAACTTCCGTTCCTTCTTCCAACCCAGACCGAAATATATTTTCAATAAAATGTGGAACTAACATCTACTTTATTTACTCTAAAGAGGTTTGCTCCATCACCATCACCAAATATTAATTCCGTTCCTTATTACCACTCGTTTTTACTTAAATTTTCTTTTTTGCCTTTTATTTTCTTTGACGCTTTTTTAATCATTTCCCCTTTGCTACCCCTGTGTGTGTGTTGGTGTGTCCGTCATCTATCTGTCTGTCTGTGAAAATATAAAAATCCCATGAATTAAACTCAGGTCTGGGGTGGGCTTCTCCTGAGCCGTATAATTTTGTTCAATCTAATCTATTTCATCTGTATCATTTTTATATCTATCTATCTATCTATCTATCTATCTATCTATCTATGTATCTATCTATCTATCTATCTATATATAATGTATTTATCAACCTTCCTGCCTACCTACCTTCCTACTTATCTACATACCTAGCTACTTATCTACTTATCTACCTACCTACCTACCTGCTTATCTACCTACAAACGTACCTATATACCTACATACCACCTCCATACTTATTATCCTTGCAATCTACCTACCTACCTACACCTACCTACCATCCTACCAATCTACCTATCTACCTAACTACCTACCTAACATCCTACCAAATTACCTACCTAGCATCTTACCATCCTAGAAATCTACCTAACTACCTACCTAAAATCCTACCAATCTACCTACCTACCATCCTACCAATCTACCTATCTACCTAACTACCTACCTACCATCCTACCAATCTACCTACCTACCTACCTACCATCCTACCAATATAGCTAGTATCTACCTATAACTTCCTGATTAGCCACCCACTTTTTCTCTAACTATCTAATTTTCTTTCTGTCTAAACTGCTATTAATATAGAGTATCTATGCTACATTTTTCCTATATAGCTAAAAAGCTCTGGCTAATATTTATCTATCTACCTTTCTATCTACCTTTCTATCTATCTATTATCTATCTATCTATGTATCTATCTACCCTGTCATGTATAGAACTGCAAACAGTTTATATGCCTGTGTGTACCGTGTATATGTATGTATCCTACGAATTATGATTACTCGCTGTTCCTCAACTATATACTATTTGTAAACTAATTTATTTTAAACCAATTTAGACCAATCTCATTCTATTCATCTATTCAGCTATTCAGCTATTTATCCTTTCTATCTTTTTTATTATTTTTATAATTTTTCTTTTTTTAAACTCTTCTTGCTTATTTTCATGCATTTATTCATTTTTGTTCGTTTACTTATTTTTATCTAATCATTTTTTAACCTTTCTTTTGTTTCTTAAGTTTTCCCTTTTAAGGAAACAAACGCTTCTTGCATTCAACGGTTTTAAGTAAAATCCATGAAAATAAACAAAACGGTACCATTCAAAGGGACCGTTCACTTATTCGGGTAATTTTGGGGCAAACTAAATAGCTTCTTCTTAGCTATTGATTAGTATTGGTCTTACTTTTTAAAGACAACTGTGGCCGGAGAAAAAGCCGATTTTTCATTCAGAATTTGAGCGCAAAGGGACGGTCCCTTTGTCTATGCACTATTTGATGTTTTCGTCTATGTCATGGAAAAAAACTGGAAAATAAAATTAAACAGTAGTATCTAATAGTTAATTGTAAATGTAAATTGTAAGTGTTTCAGACAAGGAACCGTCCCTTTGCGCTCGAATTCTGAACGAAAATTTTTTTTTTTCCGGCCACAGTTGTCTTTGTAAAGTAAAAATTTCCAATTACCAGCTAATAGTCTGTTTAGTTTACCATAAATTTACCCAAATAGGTGAACAGTCCCTTTAAGATATTTTTCTGAGTAACAATGAAAAAGATATTGTCACTTTTGAATAGAATTCGAAATAAAAAAAAATTTTAGGAAATTAGTATATTTCTATAGATTTTGCTTTGATAAATACTTAAAAAGTACCGTGTTATGAATCTACATAATAGATAATACAATAAAGGGTCATTATGACGTGTTACATCATATGTGTAACAATAAAAACTTCTTGGACAAATTACTCTTTTGAATTCGTGAAATATAAGAAGAAGTTATCGTGTGAAAATAAATTTCTTAATTTTGATCCACGTTTACTCTCCGGGTGGGAAGGATTAAAAAGGATTCAAGGACTAAAAATAATCCCAATATCAGGATCTTTAAAAGAAATAGTCATTGACTATTTTAGTCTTTAAAGGGACTGTTTTTGTTTTAAACTTCTGTAAAAAAATGAGTAGTCGTAAGAAAAATGAGTAGTCCAGTATTGGCTCCACAGATACTTTGTGGGAATATTTAGTGCTAGTCATTTAAAATTTGGTCTTTAGCAAGACAGAGAGAGAGAGAGATATAGGAAGATAAATATGTAATTAGATAATTAGATAGATTGTCAGATAGCTTGAAATCCTGATCTTAAAATTCTGATGCTCCCTCGCCCTGACCCCTCCCCCTAAACTTAGCAATGATCAAGGATGTAATGCAAGGAAAGTTAATTGCGGTCGTGTATACTCTACGTATATATTAAAACCAGTTCTCTGTGGGTGGAATTTGTAAACAAGAATAGATGCATCAGTGTTCGTTTAGTATCCGAGGAGGTTAAAAGCATTAAATTTTGATAATTTTGATAATACACATAAAAGTTTCCTATGACCAGAATATTTCATTGATTAGAGGGGGGGGGTGGCTTTATTACCCTGAAATTTGTTATTTAAGACGGGAATTAAATGGAAAATTCCAAACAAATTGTAAAATGATGGAGTAATGTAATCAAGTTTAAAACATGTTACAGGACTAATCTACACTGTGCAGTACAGTGTACAGTGTACGTAACATGTACATTGTACATAATACACCTACTCAATCATGTGGTTGAGAATTGTATAGGATGAGCTAAAGTATTAATTACAATAACAAAGATAAAGAATCAACTACCATTGAAAAAAAATAAAGGATCAACAAACATTGAACAAATCAAATATATTAAATTAAATCAAATTTATTAAAGCCTGAAAATTCAAACTATGATAAAAAATGAAATCCATAAATGAGAGAAATTTTCAGATCAAATTTATTCAAGAAAATTTTGAGTCAAGATTGAGTGATCCTTTGATTTATCGATAGATAGATAGATGAATAGATAGATAGATAGATAGATAGTTTGATAGATAGATAGATAGATAGATAGATAGATAGATAGATAGATAGATA